AACAGCCGTGATAAACTGATTGAATTTGTAGTAACAACACTGAAAAATAAACTAAGTAAAGGAAGAGACTGAGGGTTGCAGCGGAGTAAGCCAGCACCTGTCTGGCATGCATGTGACATCACCAGCACAACAGAAATATATGTTGTAAATAAATAAGTAAATAAATAAATGCTAGCAAAGGAAGAGCAATTTCCATAATTCTATTCAGCCTAACATATCCATAACAGTATCATTTCTTGATGGAAACAATATTTTAAATTTATTTGTAATGTGCTAATGCCAACCCTTGGAAAGCTGTCATCAAGGGGTTCATGAGTTCAAGGCCAACCTAGGCTAACATACTAAAAAAAATAACCTAACTCAGAAAAAAAATTGGTATGTTTTGCAATCTTTTTCTTATACAAGTCCTTGAAGCCCAAGGTGTACTTGGACTCTTCTGGAACCTCTTAGTCACAGCGAAGGAAGCCCAGCCAATATACATTGAGCACCTTCCATCTTGGGCCATGTGGCTCACCACCATCTGATATGACTGGTTAATGCAAAAGACACAATTCTCACGCCAAAGAGAGTTTATTTTGGAGCTAAATATGAGTGACCATGGTTTGGGGACAGATTTCGGGTTTCCCCAAATTCCATCTTCTGCCATGAAAGTGGTTACATGAGAATGTATTAGCTACAGAGCAGAAGAATTCAAAAGTGTTGGCAGTGTTGGCCAGGCTCGTTAGTGGGGGTGCAGGTTGGCCATGACAGTGAAGACAGGGAGACTCTGCTGTAGGATTATTCAACATCGAATGGCATCTCTAGCTTTGGGATTGGTGGAGCTAGTTGCCGGCTAAGAACGCTTTTTAGCAGTCTGATAATCACAAGGACATTGGGCTCCACACAGGGGTGAGCAAAGGGCAACTTTCAAAGGGACCAGAATTAGCCGGAGATGACCTGACTCCGACCACAGCATCCTAACTCTTCATATTCTCCAAGTTCAGTCCTTCAGCCAGTAGCTGCTTTTCTCTCTTTCTAGACACCCCGCCCTCTTCTGTCTGGGAATTTCAGATGCCTGCATTTCCATCTGAGCTCACAACACTGACTGTGCCCCCTGATTCTCTGTCCCTCTGTCCCTTCTTTCTCTGTCCCTTCCTCCTCAGTGAACACACTATGCGAGGGGCTCTCAATGGCTCTTCTTCATCCCAATCCAGAAATGGAAAGTGCTCAAACTGGAAAACCACAACAGACCAGGACATGTGATACCCAGAGCAGCTTACATTCATCCTATGTGTGCATGAGGAGAGCCCCTGGGTGTGTGACCTCGAGCAGCTTAGGGCTGAAATGTAAGGTATGCTTTGGGGAGAGACAGGGGTGCCATTGTGTGTGAGATTGGCATTCAGACCGGGTCTAACCCTGACCATTAAACTCCCCTGGAGCCTCCGCCTTTTCTCTCATCTTCTTAAGAACCTATTGATAACTTAGCTGAACAGAAAATACTTCGTAAGCTTAACCTAAAACAAAACAGAAGAACAGCAAGGAGCTTTCATATCTGCAACCCTCATCCATCATCAAAGCAAGAACAAGAATGGCTCATTATTCCTACAGTGGCTGTAAGGATCAAATCCTATCCATACGGGAGGACTAGGCACAAGGAAGGCCTAGCCAAGAACTCCCACTGTCCCCATTCCTCCCATTGAGGCCCAGGGTGGGGAAATGCCTGCCCAAGGTCACACAACAAGGAGGTGACATCAGGCACACCCTGTTTTGGCTGCTCCCTTCTCCCCGGCAGTCATCACCAACAGCCAGCCACATACTTTCTCACAGTGAGATAAAGAAAATAAATACACCCAGAATGAGTGAAGTACTTACTCAACAAAGGCTCGTGTCCAAGTGTGGTTTCCATGGTATGTACCGTGTTTGCGTGCGTGCGTGCGTGCGTGCGTGCGTGTGTGTGTGTGTGTGTGTGTGTGTGTGTGTGTGTGTGTGTGTGTGTGTGTGTGTGTGTGCTCGTGATTTGTTTAGAATCCCAGCTCCCAAGAGTAGAGGCAACTTGGCAGGCCATTCAGCTTAGCTTCTATGTCTCTCTCTGTCTCCCTGTAGATGACGCTCCTGAAGCGACTGGGTGAGAGTCCTCAGTGCCATTTGCAGGGAAAGGTGACCTTAGAGATGACACAAAAGGACTGTGATTGAGAAAAAACCCAAACCATACTGATTAAAACCTAGGGAATCCATATTATCTCATTATATAATAATAACCAGAGACAAGTTTTCTGAGCACTGGTCCTCTCTGTGGCACGACTGTCCCTGTGTTTTCTGTGCTCCTCAAATTCTCCAGGTTAATCAGTAGGGTGGCTGCTACAAAGAAACCATTTTACAGATAAGGGAAATGAGGCTCAGGGAAAATACAGAGGCTGCTCAGAAACATGGAGCCAGGAAGTAGAGGTTCAGGGGACCGGCTGTTTGCAGAGTGGGACAAATAAGTGTCCTTATGGAGTTTCATGTGTGTCTGCAAAGGTAAACTTGACTCTCATGAGGATAAGAGCAAACCATGATGGCAGATAGAATGGCTCTTCTAGGTAGAAAAATAAAAAAGCCAGGTCATTGTGGAGTGGACTGTAACAGGTGCTGGAAATGGCAGCTCAGGTTTGTAATCCCAGCTACTGAGGCAGGAGGATAGCAAGTTCAAGGTCTGCCTGAACTACAGAGTGAATTCAAGTTCAACCTGGGCAACTTCAGCAGACCCTGTCTCAAAATATAAATTAAGAAGGCTAGGGATATAGTCTTGTATACACAAAGCCCTGGATTCCGTTCCCAGTACCACATCAAGATGGGGAGGGAGGGAAGGACAGGGGGGAGAAAAGATCCTAGTTTCCCAGGCACCTGCCAAGAGCCCTGCCTGTTTCTAGAAGACAGCAGGGACAGAGGCCAAGCGGGGTGTGGCATGCTTTATTTCTGGTTTGTTTTCTTTTAATCCAGGTACACCAAAGGCCAGGTCTCTGCTCTTTCCTTCACTAAGCCAGCATTTATAATAAATGAGCTTATGGTACTTGCCTCCCCTTCCAGACCCTTCTTCCATTAAAGAACAGAGCCCAGAGCCAAATGTGGGCCCCAGAGAGAGCTCTAGAGCCCCAGCTGTCCACAACTTTGACTGTGGTTTGCTCCCCCAGCAGATAGAGTGTGTATAGCGAGCTAAGGAAGTGAGAGAGCGAACCCATCATCCTTCTAGACAAGGAAGAGCATGGTGATTGATCCCAGGTGCTTTTCCCTGCAAACCAGAGCCTAGGCAGCAAAATGCTAAAATATACTCAGACTACTGCCACGAGGGCCACACACAGCAGAGAAATGCCACAGCGTGAGGGCGATGCATGAATACACAGAGAGAAACACACACACAGAGCCGCACCAGATGGAGAAAGCATCCCAGGCTGGGCCAGGGATTCGTTACTCCCCAACCCACACAGAGTGGCTGGTGGGGTTACGTAATGCAAGCTGCAAAAACACTAACCAGCCTCCTTCAAGGGGCCCTGGGGGGAGGGGGACCTCCTTTAAAAAGCAAGGAGACCTCTGTAGTCAATTCCTGTTCTCTGAGGCAGTGGGCACTTGTGCCAGCAGACTCAACCCTGGGGTGGCCCTGGGAAGTTGCTAAAAGGGAAATGAGGTGAGATTCTGATTTGTTAGTCATGGTGGCAGATGGGTGTCCCTCCTTGTGCGAAGGCATGGTGAGGATGCAGAAAGGAGGCTGAGGATACAGGTGGACTGGGGCTTGGAGGAGAGGAGAGACATGGATCAAAGGATGGCCTTGTGCCTCCCATCCCCACCTCACCCACCACTGACAGATCTACACACACACACACACACACACACACACACACACAGCGCTCCCTGCACTTGCCTGATCTGAGCTACCACTATGTTACAGCTTGGCCCCTGTTGGCCTTCAGCACCCCAAGTCCCTACGCTGGGACATTGGAGACTGAAATCTGAGTGCATTTTAGACAAATAAATATGGAGCTGTGAAAATATACATCGGAAGTATTTAGCAGGTGAATTCAAAGTTCAGGCTTGAAAGGGAAGCTGGTCCATCCTCCATCATCCACTCTGTGTGACCTTGGACAAGGCACCCAGCCTTCTTTCAAGTTGGGACTCCAGGTCTAGGGATGGGTTTCAGCGAATATCAAAGGAGGCAAAATAACTGTTGAGAACAGATATGCTGAGAAATGTCTGTGTGAGTCTCCACTTTTTTTTTCTTCCTCTCCCATCAGCGAATATTGATTGAGCGTGTTATGTGCCATTGCTAAGTCCAGACGGTCAAGTCTGTCTTCCTCATATTCCCTCACTGGGGTTTTTTGTGTGGTATGTGGGAAACACATGCGTTCCAGAGTTTTGTGTGGACCTAGCTTCTTGTGTCAAAAGTGTTCATTGCTTGGCGGAAGTGTCTATTTTTGAAATTGAAATGCAGTGAGGGAAATGACTGCAAGAGTTAGTTGTTACCACTTGATGCAGCACTGCGAGCGTCAGTTGAAATCCTCCATCCCTGGTACCACTTGTTGCAGCATCTGTATTTGTCTAGTAGGTTTTGTTCCTGGTGATGATGGAGGTGGAGGTTGGTGTGGGGAGGTTCCAGAGTGGGGAACCCAAAGATTGGTGCCAGAGGAACTTCTGAGCTGTGAATAGGGAGTGTTTATAAAACTCAGGACACTAAGGACAATGTGACAAGCCAGAGCAGTGGCTCCCATGCTGGGAAAGATAAAAGGTTAAGAAAGGTTACCCTTGGGTCTCTGGGGTTGCCTAGCCATCTTTGCTGTGGTGTCCTCAGGGAGGACATTTGATCCCTGAGGGCTTTGATCACAGGGATAAGGTCAGGTAGCCATCGCTAACTGGAAAAGGTGCACTTAAGGAAGGCCAGCCATGCCTCAGGCTTGGCTTCCAAACTCCAGGCATCTGTGACTCCGTGTCTTCCATACTAGCTCTCCCTTTCTCTTCTCATCTACTTTCATCTTCCTTCTCCTCTCCTCCAGGAAACCTACATCACATCTGCATTTGGCAAACTGGTGACCAAGATGCCCAGAGATTAGTCCCCATGCTTGTGTGTCACTTTAGACACAGTCATAAGACACAGCCAGCTTCCAGTCTTCCTGCCCTGTTGCTTGGGGACACGTCCCTTCACTGCTCCTGACGTCTGTCTGGTCAACCTTGGCTTCCTCAGAGAATAAGGAAGGAGGTGGGGACACATGAAATCATGCCTCCCAAGGCCGAATGGCAATGAGCAGGTGACGCCAAGTTGACGTCAAAGACAGAGGCGACTGAAATTCTGCAGCCAGCTCTTTTCCCAGAGTAACTCAGATCCCCTGCCAGAGTCATCTTAGCTTGGACGTCTTCCAAAGGACACAGACACCATGGAAGAGCACACATTTGGGGTTCAGCAGATCCAGCCCAATGTCATTTCTGTCCGTCTCTTCAAACGCAAAGTCGGGGGTCTAGGCTTCCTGGTGAAGGAACGGGTCAGCAAGCCACCCGTAATCATCTCAGATCTGATTCGAGGAGGTGCCGCGGAGCAGAGCGGTCTTATCCAAGCCGGAGACATCATTCTCGCAGTCAATGGCCGGCCCCTAGTGGACCTCAGCTATGACAGCGCCCTGGAGGTACTCAGGGGCATTGCCTCTGAGACCCATGTGGTCCTCATTCTGAGGGGCCCTGAGGGCTTCACTACACATCTAGAAACCACCTTCACAGGGGATGGAACCCCCAAGACCATCCGGGTGACCCAGCCCCTGGGTCCCCCCACCAGAGCCGTCGATCTGTCCCACCAACTGTCAGCCAGCAAAGACCAGCCATCAGCAGCAGGCAGGGTCACTGGTCCTGGTAATGGGCCTCAGCATTCCCAAGGCAACAGACAGGAAGCTGGCTCCGTCTCCCAGGCTAATGGTCTGGCCATTGACCCTATAATGAAAAGCACCAAGGCCAATCTCCAGGACAGTGGGGAACATGACGAACTGCTCAAGGAGATAGAACCTGTGCTCAGCCTCCTTAACAGCGGGGGCAAAGTGGCCAACAGAGGGGGCCCAGCCAAAGCAGAGATGAAAGACACAGGCGTCCAAGTGGACAGGTAAGCCACACGGGTGTGTGAGTGTGTGCTTGTGTGCAGGTGTGCATGTGGAGGCTCCGCCTGGCAACCCAGGGGCCGGCCAGCCCACTCACATGGCTTGGTGACCCTCTATCTCTCCCTGGAAACTGTAATCATGCGAGGTGAGTGGACCTCCATTTGAAGACGCAGATCTTGCCATGAAACCCGTAGTCATTAATAACCATGGTCCAGGGAATTGCATCCTCACGTTTGTTCCATGAATGCTCCCAAAGTCCAATAAAGCAGGATGTGGGAAAGATGTGTCAAGAGTGGGGTTCAGAGAGATGGAGATGGCTTTGTTGATATTGACCAGGGACTATAGGACACATGCACATGGCTCACTGGACATGTCGCTTATACCAGGGTCCTGGGAAAGATAGCAGGAAAGAGTTGAAGTCTGCACCCCACTCTGTAGCCAGCTGAGGACAAGGGAGGCTTCCAAGGAGAGAGAAAGACCACAGAATTCGTTTCAATGCCCCTAAGTCACAGTTCAGTCTTGAACCCTGGGGGTAGACTGTAAATCACTGGGAAGGACCACTCTTGTTCCCCAAACCACTGTTTTCGGGGTCTGGTGGAAGGGACCCGGAAGAATTGCCAGTGTTGCCAGCTCCTTCCAAGGGAGGAAAGAGCAGATGGCCCTGGCAGTCAGAGAGTTGTGTGTCCTGCAATTAGGGAATTCCCTCTGCCTCTTCCGCCATCAAACCCAATAGCCCTGCTCCGTGCTGCCAAGACGGGGATGGGGGCACTCAGAATTCAAACCCTGCATACATCTGTGACACTCACTGAAGCTGTGTGGTGCTCCAGGACCCCAGAGTTGTATCTGTTGTGCTCATGACACTAGCTTTTCCTAGTCAAGTAACCCTATTCCTCAACAGAAGTGAAGATCAGAGTTTTAACTAATACTCTACCGGTGTGGTGGAGTTCCTGGCCAATGGCAGCAGACCATCGGGTATATTCCTGTTTCATACATTTGACTGTGGTTTGCAGCTGGACCTGAGGCTATGTGTTTGAGGACCCCCTGGGTTCTGTTACAGGCATACTTGCACTCCCAAACCCTATATGACGTAGGTTTTCCCCCTAGAAGACCCACAATGGGTCCTAGGTACTCCCTGTCATGTGGCTAATTTGACCCTGCACCAAAGGTGCCACATAGCGTATAAGGTTCTTGGTATAGCACTATGGTATAAGTAGCGAGCGTGGTTGCCTTCCAGAACATGGGTGCTGGTGTGGTTATGGAGCAAAAGGAGTCTGTAAAAGGAGAGACACACTCCATTCTGTAGAAACCATCACCTGCCTTCCTTCCTCCAAGGGAGGTGCAAGCAGTGAGACATAGGACACTGCCCCTGCACCATTTGTTTTGACTTGGGAGTGACTCTGTACAATCTTTCTCCCATTGTGGTTCTCCTACTGCCCTCCCCCAGATCCACCTTGCATGTACTGAGTGGTTTGGCCCAAAGTCATAGATAAGACAAGGTTTGAGAGAAACCACTCAGGAAGGCACAGAGCCCCAGAAGCCACTCAGAGGAACAGGTTCTGGGGAATGGGTGACATTTCTTAATGACACCTACACCCCCTAGCTTGGTGGCTCATACTCGTGCCACACCCAAGCCCACCTTACTAGCCGGAGACTAGCATGTGGTTGGTATAGCTTGCCCTACTTGACATTTTCAGACACTTCATGTCCTAACTGTGATATAAATAAAGGGTTGTGTCAATCTCCTAAAGAGAGAGCCAGCAACCAACAGTACGGATGCCCATGTGGGCCCTCAGCCAGTGGGTCAAAGTTGTGTGCCCAGGCCCGGAACAGCTGCACACCCTGGAACATCAGACATAGAAGGTCATAGATATGTCATCCTGTCATCTCAAGTGCCACAGGGGTGTCACAATTTGTGATATAATTTTTTTGAAATGGACGATTTTCAATGAGACAGGGGGTCCGTCTGGCTTCACTTGGTACTCCCAGTTTCAGTGGGATCACACGTGGAAGGTCAAAGCCATCAGTGCCATAAGGCAGAGCCTGGGAACTTCTGCCTGCTTCTGTCTGCATGGAAGATCTGTGGCTGCTGAGACTCTTTGTCCTTAGGTGGGACTTACATGTCCTTCTGCCCCATGTGGTACCACTTCTACAATGCAAAGAGCACCCCTGAACCCAGAGAGCAGCAGCCCAGGATGTCCCCAACCCACTGCCATATGTCCTCCTGGAGGCTGAAATCAAGTAACATAAATTAGGAACCAGAAGCCCAAAGTCACATCGTCCTTGGGGTCAGTCTCACACTGGCATCCCTGAGACCATCAGAGACCCTTGGTGCATACAGCCGTGGGGAATATCTTGTACTCACAGTGACCTCCCTGACCAGATGCTGTTTGGGGCTGAGGGTTGGCACTGGCAACTTGGAGACTGAATGAATTGTTGCCATGCTGAGCCCCTTGGGAGACAATGGGGTACTCTGCCCAGATCCCACATCCAGATCACACTCACCAGCCGGTGACTCCTAAGGCCACTGGGAGCAGCAGTCACTTGCTAGTTCAGGGTGCTGCCTGTCTCAACTCTGATGCCTTTCATTCCTCCTAGGAGTGGACTTAACTTTCTGTTCCATCACTAGGCTTTATGGGGACCAAATGTGATATGTTACTCTAGAATGACAGCCCCATCTCCCTCACCCCAGGAGCCAGGTGGCTCCAGGAAACTGTAAACCCAGACTTCTGCTACCGTCTGTATTTGAGAGCGGTCACTTTAAAAAGTGTCAGAGGATATCAAGGTTGCTCAGCTTGCTGCCCTGAGGCAGGGTTCTAAGGAGGCCAAGGTCCCTGGTCCAGCATCCATCTGGAACAGTCTGTCATCCTAGCCCTATGATCAGGAAACCAACCTGCCCCTACCCATTCACTTTTGCAAGGCACTCGGTCGGTCCCTAAGCACATCTTAAACATTGCTGTAGAAGTAGGGCACATGGCTTCAGCCGGCTTTTCTAAATGAGCAAACTGAGGCTCAGAGAGCTGAAGCCACTTAGCCAGGGTCACACAGCCCTGTTTGTAACCTATGGGCCTCCCAGTAAAGTCAAAGAGACAAAAGAAGCAGCTGTGGAGGGGTTACATACAGGGCACCCACTCTGTGGCAAGCCTGAGTTGGAGGATGATGTCATATGCCCATCTCTGCTGACCACTCCCAGAGAGGCTGGCACCACACACTAACATCTGTACGTCGATCCCTTCTTAAAGTATTCCAATCCTTGATGAATAAAGCAGGGATCAAAGAGGTTCTGTCATTTATCCCAGGCCACACAGCTAGTAAGCAACCAAACCAGGCTCAGGGCCAAGGCTGTGCTCTTGACCTCTGTTGCCACCCCCCCCCGCCCCAGTGTGTTTGGTTGCTGGCCACTGGGTGTCTGAAGCTATCAGAAAATTTCTTCTGAGTCTGGAAGGGACACTGAGACCCTACAGTTTCTCTGGCTTGGAGTAACTAACATAGGGCAAGATGTCCAAGATGAGAACGAGGGCCTCCCTAAGCTACAGAAGAGCCTCTCTGATGGGCTCCGCAGGGTTCCCTTGCAGCCATCATCATGGAAGAGCCAGGATTCCCGATCCATTCTTCTGTGACTGGCCTGTTTCCGTGTAGCTGTTTGCTCACCATAATGGTACCCAAGAAGGGGCTGGGGAGACGGCTCCGTGGGTAAAGTACTTACTGAACAAACATGAGGGCCTGGGCTCAGACCTCAGGTCCACTTAAAAAGTGCTAGGGAGACAGAGACAGCCAGAGTCCTGCACAGTGTGCTGATCAGCCAGCCCTGCTTAACTGGAGAGTTCCACCATAGGGAAATATATTGTCTCAACAAAGAAGGTGGGCAGTGACCTTCACACCCACACCCACACCCACCCACCCACCCACCCACACACACACACACACACACACACACACACACACACACACACACACGCACGCACGCACGCACGCAGGCACAAATACACACAGTGACCTCAGAGTGCCCCTTGGCTGGGTGACTCCAGGCTGCCTGAGTTGACACACACTGCACACAGAACTCCGAACGGGACTGCAAACGCTCTCCCACAAACTCCCACACCACAACCCGGAGCGACTTCCATTCTCCCCCCATCAGACACGCGTGTCTTCCCCAATCTGTCCTTCCCTGCCTTGTCCCCTTTCTGTCTTGTCATTGGACACTCATCCCTTCATCCTGAACGAGCTGTGGCAGAACTCATATGTCTACCTCCCCAAAACTGCCCTGTCCCCAGCGGGCTTCTTACCGCCTTCTACCCAGTGAAGTTTCAAGCAAGCCTAGTCTCGCCCCTGATTCTGCTTTCAGAGCTGGGGACTCGCTGAGGAAGCTCTGCCCTCCCCGAGTCACATCAGAGACATGAAGAATAGACAAAGAGACATTTGCCATCATCTCTCACGGTGACTCATGCCAGGGAGGAAATAGGCCAGAGATTTGGGGGGGAAGTAGCTCAGGAGTGATGAGAAGGTTAGGTGGGGGAAGACAGAGGTGCCAGTCATGTGAAAGCCAGAGAGTGGGGAGCCTGACAAGAGGGCAGAGTGGCCACAGAGATCCTGAGGCAGGGACCAGCATGAGAGGCTCAAAGGAGTGATGGAAGGCTCCAAGGGATGCAGGGTAAACGGTGGGAGGAGCTTTCTGTGTGAGCACTGAGGATCAAACTCAGGCCCTCATGCTTGCACACAGGCGCTTTACTCACTGAGCCACCTCCCAAACCTCACTGTGAGCCACCTCCCTGTTTTTCAGAGACGTAGCACTCAAGGATGCTGAGGCTGCCTGCGCTGTGTGTCTAGTAAGGCTGGCTGTTAACACTCTCCATGTCCAAGTGGGACGGGACAGACTTTAGGTCTGCACATAGGAACTCCCCTGTCCTCCAGCATCCAAACCCAGTCTGTCACCCCCAAACTCTTCACTTATGTACTCTTGCAGGCGTAGGTTTAAGGATCCGGGCCAGCTTGTGGGTATCGGTAATTAGAGTCATGGTGATGATGGAACCCCAGTGCCCTGCCTCTCTTCCCAGCTTCAGAGTCCCTTGCAGGATTTGTTCTCAAAAGAAGACTTTACAGACTACCTTGGTGGTACATACTGTAATCTCAAGACCTGGAAAGCTGAGGCACGAGGGTGGCAAGTTTGAAGCCAGCCTAGGCGATACAGTAAGGCTGTCTCAAACAAAACAAACAAAAAAGCATGGCTGAGGGTGTAGAGTGTTTGCCCAGCATGCACAAAACCCTTGCTTCAGTCCTGCATCATGGAAGGCAGCTGTGATGAGCTATGCTATAATCCTATCACTTGGGGAGGAGCAGGAGGCTCAGAAGTTCAATGGCATCCTTGAGTACACAGTGAGTTTAAAGCCAGCCTGGGCCTGTCTCAATAAAGAAAAACATTGGTGTTTGTTTGACAAGGCCTCCCCATCAGGGTGACAGCACCCTCATGAAGCCAAGGAGAAAGCTTGGCCAAGACTCCCACATCCCAACTCCATATTAACTCAACCCCCAGCATCTGAGGCCAGGTCAAAGGCAGCAATGAAAGGCTAGTGTAGGGCGGGGAGGATGGGAATGAATTAGCCAACACATCCGTGGAAAGCTGGGGCAGGCTTTCTACCAAGGCCAGCTGCTCCACAGCGGCCCCATCGTCTGGTAACGGCCTCTACCTTCTCTGAGCCTGGCACACAGGTCCGACTCACCTGCTCCATGCCAGGTCCGCAGGCTTGGCCAGTGGTCAGCCATGAGCGCTTTCTGGGGAGTCAGACAGGGCTACTCATCCATTCTGTGAAAAAATATGGACCACGATTCCCGAGTATCCTGTGCTGAGGACCAGCAGGTTCGGGATACTGACAGGATGCTTGGCTTGCGCACATCTCAGCACAATGCAGATTCCTTTGTCATCGTGAGGTGTGGCACTGTTAGTGTCATGGGGTGGGTATAGGAGACAGGAAGTTCAATAACCCTCAATGCCTGGGACAGAGCCCATTGTAAGGAGGTCTCTGGCTCCAAACCTCAACAGTTGAGGCCCAGATAGTCCCAACGACATCAAGGTGAGTCAAGGCAGCTGGGCAGGCAGACCCTGGACTCATGAGTAATGACAAAATAAAGCCATCCATCCACCCTTGCCAAAAGTCAAGAGACAAGCTGTTCCCTGCTTCAGTGGGCTCCTGGTGTTTCCCCCGCATGCACGGGAAAATAATAAAAAGCCATCACCAAGCTGCATTTACCCAGTGCATGGAGTCAATGCTCTTACTTCATTGGCTGAGAGTGTCTAGCATCTAAATTTAAAGTTCTGGACCCAGCAAGATGGCAGCACAGGTAAAGGTGATTACTGCCAGGGTTGTTGACCTGAGTTTGATTCCACAGACCACATGGTGAAGAGAATAGACTACCCTAAGTTGTCCTGACCTCCACACATATGCTGTCACAATGCACTCACTCAAATAAATTCTAAAATTGTAATTAAACACTCAAAACTCTTCATGAGTATGTGATTTAGCCAGACACCTCCCAGATCCCCCAGGATGACCAGCTATGATAAAAAAAATAACTAAATAATAAATAAATAAACAAAACAGCTTTAGCAAGTTCCTCTCGCTGACTGCGTGACCTTGGACAAGGGACCCAGTCTCTCTGAGCTCCAACTTCCTTCAATGTTAAGGAACATAATTGTAGTTAGGGTCCTGTTTCTGCTGACTGTGCCAGGCACTGTACACACGTGACCTCATGTAGTACCCAGCAGAGGCGGGTGTCCTGTATACTCTAAAGGAGGAGCAGAGACAGCACTCAGCTGGGGGGTGGACTAAAGGGCACAGAGAGGAGGGGAGAGTGGAGATCAGGGTTGGGAATTATGGGAATCCAACTACATTTACTTCAGACTTGTACCTGTAGCTAGTGACCATACCAGATGGTGTAGGCATAAAGCATGTCATCATGACTGGCTATTGCCTGGACAGTGACAATGACCCTGAAGGACTAGAAGTTTCTTTGTCCCGTCTAATGAAGCTATAACAAAGAATCCAAGAAGGTAGGAGAGTCACTAGCAGATTCCACCAGCTTTGTGCCAGGAGGGTCCGATCACACAGTCATTTCCCTTGCTGTCATTAACCCTCATGTGACAAAGGACACACTGAGGCTGGTTCCATGTCCAGAGTCACCCGGCTTCATAAGCAAAGCCAAGGGTCAGGCCTGGTTTTGCCACTCCCCACTGTGGATGCTACATGTGTGCCACTGCAAGCAGACACCATGAGATGCTTCGGGAGCCCTCATCACGCAGATGAACCCCCGAAGTGACAGGTCCTCCCCAGCCCCTCTCTCCCACAGGCTGTGGGCCAGGGGTTCTACTCCTGAATTCATCCAGAGTGCATGATAGCTCAGCTCTGACATTCCCTGGGCTCCAACTAAAAACGCCCATTCCCTGTTCATCACACGTGATTCTAAAATCAGCGTGTAGCCAGACCACCCAAGCGCATTCTTTGAACAAAGGTGCTCATAACAGAAGAGGAAGAGGAAGAGAAGGAGGAGGAAGAGGAGTAGGGGGAGAGAGGGAGATGGACAGATGGAAGGAAGGAGGGAGAGAGGGAGGGAGGAAGGGAGCAAGGGAGGGAGGGAGGACACAAAAAAATGTTAAACCTGTGAGCTCCTTCCCTCAAGGTCACAAGAAGATTCACCTCAGAGTTGCCTGGGTGATGGACATCACAAATGCTGGTGTTCTGGCTCTGGCACCTGTAGCTGAGAATCTAAGTATCTTGTCTTTCCCACCCCGCCTTTTTAATCTCAGAAGGGATGTGAGCTAGCAGTCATCAATCAGACCTAGTTTCATACCTCAGCTCAGCTTCAAGCTGTGGGCCTCTGGGGAACACACACTGCCTCTCTGGGCGCCGCTCTCTCATCTGTACCCAAGAGCAGTGAGTGGTTGTTGAAACGAGATGAGGTAGCTGTGTACAAGTACCTGGTACATTACAGATGTCCCCAAATGCATTAACCTCCTCCCTTGTCTGTGGAGGCCCCATTTGTGGTCACACAACACCGCCAGCTCAGGAACGACCGAGCTGAAATGGAGCCCAGTGACATTTGGAGCGGCTCTCTATGGCCCTTCCCTAGCTGATTGCTGCACAGGTAATCCGTCGACTTGGGAAACGCTGGCCATCAAGAACCACTCCAGGGACGTTTTGGTGACATTTTAAAGAGGGTGAGACAGAATGTTCCCTCTGATGATGTAATCCTCACCCAGCAGAAGAACAGAAGTGACTGTGCCATGGGCCAGAGGGACTAAGAGAAACCCAGCTAGGAGGGGGTGGTCTGGCCCTTGTCACAGCAGTGGGAAGGGATACTACTCAGAGTCCTGTACTCAGAACCAACCTCCCAGCTCCCGATTAATCCCAGATGACAATCCGCACAGACCTGGATGGGGGAAGTCCCCAAAGCTTGGATGGTAACACAGAGAACTAGACAAGAGATGGCCCCCATGCCCGGGACCAGTACCCACGGGGGACACAAAATAGCTGAGTGGCCTGAAGTTGGGAATGAGATGTGACAATGAGGAACAACCACAACTGGATGCAGGGTCAACAGAGGGTAGCGGGAGAGCGGCCCTCACGGGAAAGGACAGACGTGACACAGGCGTCTGGGCAGTGTGGTCCAGTCTTCATCTCTGAGGACGGCTACCCTCTAGGACTCTGCTGACATAGACTCAGCCAGGGACAGCCAGAAGAAAGGGCAGGAAGCAGCGGAGCTTCATATGCAAGACATTAGGTTCTGGAGTCAGGCACAAGCCTGTGGCTGAGGGCCCACGTGACTTGGGCTGATCTCCTCCTGTATCTGTACCTCGGCTCTCTTCTCTTGTGGTTCTCATTTTGGTGATGCTGGTAGTTAGCGGTGAGAGTAGTGCTGCTGGTGGGGTAGTCCTGGTGAAGAGCATGAGGAAAATGACTGTGGTAATGGTGATCGTGATATCGACGTTACAGTAGCGGTGAAGGTGATGATGATGGTGAAGATGAAGATGTCATGCCTTGGGTGGCAATGATGGTGGTGACGAGTGCCCTGGGGTTTCAATTGTTGTGAAGAGACACCATGACCTCGGCAGCTCTTATAAAGGAAAATGTTAAATTTGGGTGGCTTGCAGTTCGGGTTTAGTCTATTCTCATGATGGGAAGCATGGTGCTATAGGAGCTGAGAGTTCTACATCTTCACCACAGGCAACAGGAAGTGAACTGTGACACCACAGAATCCACATTTAAAAAGGCTCCCAGGCTCCCAGGCACTGGAGATGCAGAGACAAGGGAATGGATAGGGTTTTTCTATTCTGTGATCTGTGATCTCTCTACCTGTGAGAGACTCACAAAGCAATCTGGATGGCTCCTGAGGAATAACCCCTGAGGCTCACCTCTGGCCTCCACACACTCCTGAGCACGCACACTCGTGAACCACATGTACAGCACCTAACATGCGATAAATGCTAACTGACCCTAGTTGCCATCATGAGTGCTACTATTTTCATTGCTGGGTTGCCAAAGCTGGTGATTTTTTTTTAAGAAGCCCAAAGCCTTGGTCAAGGTCAGAATGAGTCTTGGGTCTGGCCGGCAGGATTCCTACCCATCCCATGCCCTGCCTTTCTCGTCATGAGCTGTCCCGGGTGGGTAGGGTACTTCAGATTCTCAGACCTGGGAAGTAGGAGGAGGGGTGAGAGATGTGTGGCCACAGGCAGCCACGCTGAAGCCACAGACACCAAGCCTTGCACACTGAGCCTGGAAACCGCCTTCCCTGCAGCACTGGGGGATGGGGTGGTCCCTGATGAAGGCTACCCAGAGAGACCCACAGGTGACCTGGGCTCCTGTACAGACATGGGGGCTCCCAGATCAAGGCCACTGTCCTGCTGTCACTCTTTCTCACCCTCCCCTCCCCCACCCTTGCCTTTCAGAGAACTGGACGGCAAGGCGCCCCACAAAGCTCTGCCCCTGGGCAGCGAGAATGACCGCGTCTTCAATGACCTGTGGGGCAAGGGCGGCGTCCCCATGGTCCTCAACAACCCATATTCAGAGAAAGAGCAGGTAAGTGACGCACTGGCAGTGTCCCTCGCGGGTGCGGGTGAGAGTGGGGAAGGAAACGTGGGATCCCAGAGCCATTGGCGTGGAAGCTAAGCCCAGAGCACTGGGTGGGAGGGTCGCCTTCGAGTCTGCGTGGGCCACGTTTGTGTTTCCCGAATTGTATGCTCCCATTGCTACCAGGGAGGGCACCCGAGTGCCCTGTTTTAAAGACATGGAAAATATAAAACTCTAAACAGTTATATAAATTTACATATTGAAAGACACTTATAAAAAGATAAATCTAAAGCCACCAAATAACCTCACTAATACCTTTTCCCTCCCTTAATGCCAACCCTAGACACCAACAGTATTGGTTGTTTTTTTTGTTTTGTTTTGTTTTTTGTGCTTTCTAACATCTCATGTACACACAGACAAATGGCGCTTGTGTTATTTCCATACCTTTGTAACAAATGAAAGTGTATCTGCACTTGGCTTCGCTCTCTCATGTGTTAACACGTCTAGGAGATAAGTCCCTGTGAGAAGGCTAAAGGGGTCAGTGTCTTAATTAGGGTTTCCTTGGGTGTGATAAACACCATGGCCAAAAGCAACTTGGGGAGGAGAGGGTTTATTTCACTCTACAGTTTCCAGGTCATAGTCCATCACTGAGGGAAGTCAGGACAGGAACTCAAGCAGGGCAGGAACCTGGAGGCAGGAGTTGATGCAGAGGCCATGGCGGATGCTGCTTACTGGCTTGCTCAGCCTGATTTCTTATAGAACCCAGGACCAACAGCCCAGGGATGACCCCACCTACAATGGGCTGAGCCCTCCCATGTCAATCACTGATTAAGAAAATGCCCAACAGGCTCACCTACAGGCTTCCAATCTTATTGAGGCATTTACTTAATTGAGGGTCCCTCCTCTCTATTGGCTTCAGCTTGTGTCAAGCCAGTACAGAGGGACTGGTTCTTTTCACAACTGTATAATACTCCACTGTGAGGCTATTGAATAAGTCCTTCATGGTGGACACTTGGTACTATGGCCACTGTTTGGCTGTGACAGCGCTACCCCGTGCGGCTTTGTATAGATGCCTCATTTGGCACAAGAGCAGACTTTAGAACAAAAAAAAATTCCTAGAAGTGTTAAAGTTGAGTCAAAAGTCATTTCCATTTACAACCCAGTGGCTGTACCCATCTTACCAGATAAGTGGCGGGAACAGGGGGGGCTGTTTGCCCACAGCCTCGCCAGCTCCATCTGTTAGCGAGTATTTCGGTCCTTGCCAATCTGCTGAGATGTGTGCTGACAGCTGAGTCACCATCCCTTCTATCCCTTTCTAAGACTGCCTCAGCTTGGCCGGAGACCAGCAGCCACATCTCTCTTGCCCAGGCAGCTGACAGGCCAGGCCAGAGTGACCCTTGGAAAAAGTCCATGTCTCCTGCCAATCATCCTCACCCCACTGCAGCAGGAGCGGGGTGACTCATGGGAGGTCTGGAAAGAGGGGCGCTGCACCCCTTTTTCTCAGCACCTACCCACAAATGGAGGCTTTCAGTCCCTCTGAGCCAGGACTCCAAGCCTTTCCACGGGGCTTCAGAGGCGGGTGAGCCAATCCTGAGCCACAGTGGAAGTGGTTGCTGATGGCTAAGGAGGAAGGAAGGGGGCATGGGGAATTCCACAGTCCTACTGGCTGGCTCTCCCACAGCCGGAGACACCCAGGAATGTTTGTAGGGTGGATAGCATTAAACCGTCCTCAAAGATCAAGGCCATATTGGAGTGGGGTGGGCTCAGTGGTTGAGCATGTGTTTAATAAGCTGGAGGTGCTGGGTCCACCCCAACAAAACAAAAACAAACAAACCCAGGCCATGCCGGAACTCTGGGGACTCTTGTTCATGGTCAAGAAAACAGATGACTGTAGTCTTTTAAAATTCCTTCATAATTTCTTTTTGTTGTAGGAGAGGGGGGTTCTGAGAGTGCTACCCGGGGCTTGGCACGCAAGTACAAAGCTCTGTACACTGAGCTGTATCACCAGCCCTTGGCTTTTTTTAAAGTATAGCCCAGGCTGGCCTTGAACTTGTGAGTCTCTTGGCCCAGCCTCCCAACTGCCAGGCTTACGGGTATGCACCACTACACTGGTTTATAGTTCCTTTCTTTATAAAGCCATGTGTGCTGATAACCTTCCCAAGACAAAGATGAACAGAAGTGGTACCTCCAACCAGACCCAGGCTCGGCCACAGTCTGTCAGGGGTACAGTCTGTCTTCCTAAGAGATGAGTCTGATTTTTTTTTAATTTATTGCCCTTATTTCAGAGTTTTGCACAAACATGGCAAATGTTTCTTCTTTAAAACATACACTGTCTAGCCATATGTGAGCCTATCTTATTAGCGAGTGTCTTAGTCATTGTTCTGTTGCTGTAAAGAGGCACCATCACCAAGGCAACTCTTATGAAAGAGAGTATTTAACTGGGGGCTTTATTACGCTTTCAGAGGTTTAGTCCAATTTCATCATGGCAGGGAGCATACAGCATGAAGGCAGACACTGGAACAGTAGCCGAGCGCCACATTCTGACCCACAGAAAGACAGAGAGACTCGGGCTTGGCATGGGCTTCTGAAAGCTCAAAGCCCACATCCAGTGATGCACTCCCTCCAACAAGGCCACACCTCCTGATCCCTCTAATCCTTTTAAAAGTTCTACTTCTTGGTGACTATGTACTCAAATATATGAGCCCATGGGGACCATTCTTATTCAAACCACCATAGAAGAAGGGCAGTCTATATAAGCCAACCACCTTAGCAGACTCTCCACTTAGAGATAGTCCCTAACACCCACTACTGACACCATCTCAGCAAAACTAAGTGCTCATTGTCATTTATTAGCACACGGATGCTGTTAGTTTTGTTTCTTGCAGTTAGGATAGGACATAAATCATTTTGTATCATTTGTTGTTACTGTTGTTTAGTTTTATTTTGGGGTGCTACCATTGAGCTATACCCCCCATTCTTTTGTATTTTTCTAAGATTCCTTTTTATTAGCTTAGTTATGTGTATATGTGTGTGGGTATTGTATACATGAGTTCAGGTGTCTACATAGTTCAGAAGAAAGTGTCAGATCGTCCCAAAACTGGAATTACAGGCAGTTATAAGATTGCCAACATGGGTGTTAGGAACAGAACATGGGTCCTCTGCTAGTGTATCTCCTTTTCTTGGCTTCTGAGCCATCTAGCCCCTCCCCCATTCTTTAAAATAATTGTTTTAGATGAGGTCTCACTAAATTATCCTCTCTGACTTTTAACTCACTGGATAGCCTGAGCAGTCTTTACCTTGCCTTCCTCCCACCTCAACCATGACTTTATTATAAACAAAGGGTAGAAATTGACTGTGTGTCAAGAAAGATAAGAAATGAGGAGTATTGGTATGTGTTTAATGGACGCCCAAATGCAGTGTTTTGAAATTGCCAGCCTGCTTTGCTTGTTTGCCATTGGAGTTTCTAATCCCCTGTTGGTGGTAGCCTTTGGGTTTGGCTGAAGGGGAAGTTTGGGGAAGAAACGGAAGCATTCCTGACTTTTCTAGAAATAACTAGCAGTCCCTGGCAAAGTCTGAGTAAGAGAAGGCTGTGACCACTTCCTTTCATGCTGTTCACATTGTTTAAAGCAGCAATTTGCAAAAAAAAAAAAAATCACCTTGATCTTGTAGTTTGAGTAGTGAAGCCCAGTACAGAGAACACAGAGTGGTTTGGGGATGGGCTTCTTAGCCAGTATGGTAATAGAGGGATAGGGCAGGATGCTGAGCACAGAGGACCCAGTAAGATGACCAAGTGGCTTTATCTGAAAGACTGGTCCAGAGACCAGCAGTGAGGGGTTGGGTCCGTTCTACCCTTCACGGCAGATACTCAGCACAACCCCTGACCAAAAACTGCAAACCATTGGTCTACACGACCTTCCCGGATCCGTTGACTGTAAAGCCAGGCTCCACATTGCCTTCAGAAATAGAGCTAAAAGGAACTGGGCATGCTGGTGGCAGTATGTCACCCCAGCACTCAAGAGGCTGAGGTAGGGGGGTTGCAAGTCCAAGGGTAGCCTGGGCTATATAGTGAGACCTTTCTCAAAAAAGGAAAAAACAAATGCTGTGGATATAACTGACCTAATAGGGTGTTTTCCCAGCATTCACTTGGATTCTGTGTTCAGTCCTCAAGACAGAGAGTGAGCAAGTGTATTCCTTGAGAACCAAGTTTAGGACACACTTGCCAGCTCCAGAGATAAGGAGGCAGCTCTTGGCTCATCAACTTCTCATCCCTACCCCCAAGGCTTGCTTTCATGGGAGCAAGTCTACAGAGAACTGGTCTTGTCTGATGTGGCCTGTCTCCTACACGCACCTTCCCAGAGGCTGGGCAAAGCTATCTCACGTGACCCTGCTAAAGCCCACCTCCTTCTTCCCCAAAAGCAATTTGCTTTTCTCTTTCATACCTTAACCAACAAATTATTTTTTGAGAATTTCAAGCAGGAGTGCTGTGTTTATAGCATTCCCTGCCTTCTCCCTCCTTGGGCTTCCTCTCTTTCCTCCATTCCTGCTCAAATTCACGATGTCTTCTTTAGTCATTCTCCATGTATGTGTGTGCATGTGTATATGTATGTGTGTGTGTGTGTCTCTGTGTATGTGTCCGTGTGTATGTATGTGTATACATGTGTGTATGTGTTTATACGTGTGCATGCATGTATGTGTATGTATATGTGTGTATGCTTGTGTGTGTGTAAATACAAGCTGTTGAGTCCATTCAGTGTTGCTCATATGTACACAGGTTTAAGGCTGGGGATCATCCCTGGAGAAGACAGAGTCTCCTTCTCTTGGCAGCTATGAATCGCCTACAGCTCCTCATGTAGGGGCGGGTCCTTGTGAGATTCCCCCATCCACATGGGCATGTCAACTGTGCTGTCACTATGCAGGTCTCATTTAGACAGCCATACAGTTGAGGTTTCATGGATGCAGCCTCCATGCCATGTCTAGAAGACACAGTGTCGCAGCAGACATCCTGGTCC